TATTGCTATTTCACTATCTTTTCTAAGACATTCCTCTTTATGCTCCTTTTTAAGCAAGTTGAAATCTTTGGCCGACTTTTTAAAAATGTCTTTATACTTGTTTATTTTGTGTTTCCAATCTATATTTGAGTCCCCTAGCTATTCTGTACTCATTGTATATTCTTGATTTAAGCTATAGAATATTGCTTATGGTGTTTAATAGTAAATTCTAGAATTTATCTTTAATACGTAATATATGTGACTTTACGTATTTTTTACATGTTTTCATGTGTAATTTTTGTGTAGTTGCTTTTGCGTTGCTGTGTAGCTTCATGTAAAGTGCTTGTGTCATTTTCTTAAACTTTAAAATTACAAGATAAATGTATACTGATATGATATATTTTATGCGTAGAACAAGTTTACTAGGTATGCTTTATTAGGAAAATATTAAACCTTACAAAATTGTAATAATTAAACCTATTTTAATATTCTAAATAATTGATATAATATATTTTTATACATAGATCAAGTTTAATTAAAATATAAAGATAGGTTTAATTATTACAATTTTGTGGGTTTTAATATTTTCCATAATTTTATTAATAAAATTATAGAAAATAATATTATTCTCAAATTTTTACTAATAAAGTCTACCTTTATTCTTTAAATAAACTTGTTCTATACATAAAAATATATTATATTAGTATATGTTTATCTTGTAATTTTAAAATTTAAGAGAAACTTGCTTAATTTTAGAAATTTTGATCAAATATTCAAAATTAATATTTTTCTTTTAAAATTTAAAATTATAAGGTTAATATATACCAATATGATGTGATTTTATATATAAAACAAGTTTACTTAGAGTATTAAAATAGGTTTATTTAATACAATTTTGTAGATTTTAATGTTTTTCATAATTTATTAATAAAATTACAAAAAATATTGTAATTTTAAATATTTGCTTAGTAAACCTTTTTAGCTTCTAAGTAAAACTGTAGAGGAGTGTCTTGCAATCAAAATAGTAGTTAAAATATTAAATTCAGTCTAGTAAATTGCAAGATATAAGTATTTTAGTCTTTATAACTAAATATTTTCTTCTCTATTTATATAAAAAATATATATATAATCATAAAGACAAAAATACTTATATTTTATAATTTATCTAGCCAATTTTAACATTTTAACTACCATTTCAATAGCAAGATACTCCTCTACAACCTTTGTTAGAAGTTAATAAATAAAACAAAAAACTCCAAACTTGAAAATTTTATTATTTAAATTCAAACAGTTTGACAAACTTTAAATCAAACCCAGATCAAGCTTAATTCATGATTCGTATAGGAACTAGTAACATACAATAATAAAAATTGGTGATAATCTACTTATATAATTTTAATCTTTTTTTGAATCTACTCATTTTCAATATAAAAAAATCTTTTTTTTATATATATATGCTTAATAATGAAAAAATAAAGACATACCAAAGTATATAGCTATAAGGAGGTATCTATAAATAATGTTATGCTTAAGGGGGGAGGGAGTTTCCCAAAATATAACAATTTTCTAATATTTAAGGGGGTCCCCCAAAATATAATGCAATTTTTTTATAAAAATTTGTAAATTTGATCCAGTGGTCCAAATTGGATGATTTTAGAATTCAAATAGTACCAAAATTATTTGATTTAAATCACTGGAACATGTTTTATTAATGAAATACTATAAAATAACTATAAAATCAATAGTATTTTATTTTATTATAAATATTAATAAATAAGATTAGTCATGGCAAAACCTGTTGACAATTTAAAAAAAAAAATAGTATTTTGTTAATAAAATGTAATTCAGTAGTTCAAATGAAATGATTTTAGTACTATTGAATTTGTCTCATAGAGATAAATCAAATAGTACCAAAATCATCCGAATTGGATTACTGAGTCATAATATATCCAAGTTTTTGTAAAATTATATATATAAATATAAGGATTTTTAAAATTTTTTTATATAGTCTAGGGGGGAGTCAAGAGCTACTATGTAGGGGTATATAATGTTATTAATAGATTCCCCTAACTGATAGAAAATTTTATCCCAAATTTTATAATAATTTTAAGACACTATATAAAATTAAATACTGTAATACTATTTTATATATATATCATAAACAAGTTTTTTTTTGAAGTTATATATAAAAAAAACTGGCTTGTATTTTATTTTTTACCACATATTTTTAGAGTATCTTCAAAGTATTGTAGTTTTTATGTATAGATTGTGAACAGAGTTTTTCTATTGGAATTACATATGAATAAAGAAAGTATCAGAGGCTATGAAATTTTTTAGTGCTATTCTGTACAGATTTGCAAAAAAATTAAATAATAAATTAAATAAAAATCTGTATAAAACTTCAAACTCACCAGCTATAGCTACAGAAATTAAATACAGTTCTGTGCAAAATTTCAATATATAAAAAATTTTGCAGTATTTTGCAAAAAATTCTGCAAAAATTTGTATTTTTGCAGGTTTTTGCAGATTTGCACTTATTTAATTCTCTTGATAATATTATTGACATAAAACAATGCCAATTTATATTTTATTTATTACTGTATATTTTTTTTCTTTTTTATATAAGTTATTTCAATTATATATATATCTGAACAAAATTCTAACTAAGTTTGGTATATCAAACCAGATACCCAGCTCTTGAAATTCATTTTGGACTTAATTCAAGAGCTGGATATTTGGTTTGAATTACCAAACTTAATTAAATTGAGATAGAAAATAAGTAGTTGTTATTATTATAGCTTTATGGCTAAAAATCTTAAAGTAATACAAGGTATAAGTAATTAGATTATTTTAGATTTTTTGAAATTGGTTTATTGCTTTTTCAAGTACTAAGACAATTGAATTTTGTAAAATTTGTATATTCTATTGTTTTCATAAGATTCACAAATTTGATTGACTAAATTAAAAAGACTGAAAGTTCAGATATTTATAAGCATAATTTTACTAAAAATTCTTTTTTCAGGCTTATTTTAAGACTATTTTGAGTTCAAAAGTTTTGAAATAATGCTTAATTAGCATTATCTCTAAAAAAAAAATACAGATTAAGCAAATAAAAATTATAAAAATAATGTATCTAGAATAATGTAATAATTATTTGAAGAAATTACATATTTTTATAAATATTGAATAAAATAATCTTTGAGCTTAAAGAACAGAATTTTATATTTTTTTAATATAATAAAATGTTAAAATACAAAGTTATACTTATACTAACAGGTGAAATTGTACAAGACTTATATTTTGAAATATATGCTAAAGATTGGTAGATTTCTTGTTTAACTAACAATGACTTAATATATAAACTCCTCTATCTAGTTTGCCTTGGTATAAAGACTATGACTATAATAAATTAGCATGATTTTATAATCACAGTAGTTCAAAATAGTCTTGAATCTGGATATATATATCAATCCGAAGCTTTGCAAAGTAATATATATAAAAGTTTATCAGAAGCAGCTACTTCTATATATCAACAAGCTTTTCTTTCAAAAACTAGATTAGATAGTCTTTTAGTTATAGGATATGACAATTTAGAAATATGTAAAATACTGTTTTCAGATACTGTATTAATTTTTGCTCTTATACTTTCAAGATCAGAAATTTAAACTTGACTATTTCTAAAATTAGTAAATTGAACAACCCTGATTGGGTTATGCTTATAAGAGATACCAAAGCTCTTTTGTATATAACTTTTACAAAACTCAAGTATTATTTTTTCAAAAATTTAATAATAAAGAAGTGATTGTTAGAATCTATCAAAATTTTCAAGAAATATATGTTTTTTGTAATACTAACCCTAATACTATTTGGAATAAGATTGATATACTAACACAATTTATGGGAAGCATGCTGCTTAGACTTGAACATGAGTATACAAAGTCAGAACTCCATAAAGAACAAACACTCTCATATACTATAGAAGATTAGAAAAATGAGCAAATAATGAATAAACTCTTTAATTACTATCTAAATATATATATATATATTTATACTACCATACTAATTTTTTTTATTCACTATATGATAACTAATAATTATAAATTCTTAAAATTGATATGTTGGTATGAATATATATCAGTGATTGGATCAAATATCTATCAGAAATATATAGGTTATTAATCCAATTACTAATATACGTCTATACCACCATACTAATTTTTTTACCTACTATACGATAACTTATAATTATAAATTTATAAAATTGATATGATGGTATGAATATATTAATGATCAGATCAAATATCTGTCAGAGGTATATGGGTTATTGATCTGATCACTGATATATATCCATACTACTATACTAATTTTTTTTACTTACTACAATAACTTATAATTATAAATTTATTTTCTTATATATGTACTTCTATGAAACTGTTGAAACTAAATTCCAGGCATTCAAGCATAATATTATTATATTCCCAAGTATAATACTATTGCATTTTTCAAGTATAGTATTATTATACTTTCCAAGTACAGAAATATAATATTTTCATACTTAAATTTCTAAAATAGACATATGGGGTTTTTGCTTTGAAAATAACCTTATAGTATATGATACTATAAGGATATTTTCAAGACAAAGACCCTATATGTGTATTTATACAATATATCTTTTAAGTATATATGTTAAAAAATAGGATATATATATTGAATGACAGATTAAAATTTGTATCAGGTAAAAATTTAAATATAGATTTCTCTTAGATTAAGAGTAGAAAAGCGAGCAAATTATCTCAATAATTGTTACAACATAAGCTTTAGCTAGTTACAGTTTAAGCTATAACATTATTAGAACATCATTAGGATAATTTGTCTGCACCTCTAGTTGGGGTAGAAGCCTAGAGCAGTTTTTTTCGATTGATACAGATATTAATCTAATACACAATATAGATTATTTTAATTTCAGCTTTTTGTAGTTTGAATTTTGAACTCAATCAAATGATCTGTTAAAAGACCAAGCTATGTTAAAGCAATTATATGAAAGTGAGTATCTTTATACTATTTCAGAAAACTTTGAAAATAGCATGAATCAATTTTGGGATACATTTCAAAACACTTTAAACATTAATATTTGTGGAATTGATGGAAAGAGAAGAATATTGTCAATTATTGCTGACAAAATTCTCTATGATATAATCAAAAAAAATTTGCTAGTAAGTACTTGGCAAACAATACTTGAGAATGTCTATAGCAAAAAAAGAAAATAGAACTAGGCCTATTCTTCTTTTTTTGCTATAGACGTTCTCAAATTAGAATAAATTTAAACCAATATATTTATTTTAGGTCTTAAATTATTTAATTACTAAAGTATATCAATATGCTCACATTAATGGTCTAGGAGGTATTTAATTAAAAAACTCTATAATTACTTTAGAGAAGTTAGTACCTGAAAAAAAAAATCAAATTGGGTATTTTTTAAAATAAAGCAAATATAGTAATAAGTTTTTACAAGACAAATAGTACTACTGGATTATCTGTATATTATTTAAAAAATACAGTAGTAAAGATGCTTTATAAGAAAAATTTCATAAAAAGTATCCTAATAGAGTTAAAAGAACATTGTTTTATAAATATTTGTGCGATAGCCAATATATATATATATATAAAATCTGGGTAGTCTTTGTTTGATCTGTAATATATATAGATATAAGATATTAGACTTAAATAGGCATTATGCCTTTGCAACATGCTTATATATCGCTTTTTAATAATTAACCAATTAAATTTGAAGATTAGGTGTAATATGTAAATTATTTTTGTATAATAAAAATAAGAAAGTTTTAAAATTTCTTTAATATTTCAAAATTTTGTCTAGGAAACTACTTTTTGAGCTCTAACAAAAAAAATTCTTTGTAAAATTTTGGTATATACTAAACCCTACTCTAACTCTAACCTTACCCTAACTCTAATCAAATATTAATTACACGGATTTACAAATTATAATAATTAAATATGCATGTGATAAATTAGCATATCGCAGAGTGCTGCGAGAAGATTTATCCTATAAACTTTGAAAATTAATATGAATTTATTCAGATTTGGATCATCAGATGAATTTTTTTATATAATAAAATTATACTTTATAAAAACTAAAAATTCAATTTGCTTCTTGATATTCTTCAATATAATTATTCAATCATATAATTTTGTGAACATAAATATTTACAAAATCATGTGATTAACTTGTTGAATTTTTAAGTTCTAATTAGTAATATGCTACATATAGTGCAGTATACAACAAATTTTTAGAATATTTTAAAAATTATAAAACTATCTGTATCTCAAAAGTTTCTTTATAAAACTGCTTTTTGTATTCTAAGTAAGATTACTCCTTGCAAAATTTTACATATAGATAGTTTATATATCATATATATACTATATTTATTATTATTATTTTTTTAATATTAAGGTGACCACTTAGGCCCTTGGCACTTTATTAGTACAAGTAGTAGGCCAATGTTAATTTTAGCACCGGATTTATATATTTTATCAGTATTACGAGAATACAACTAGTCACACGTACAACTTTTGATTGCCTATTTAAGTAGTCTGCCCGAAGCATTAGTGCTATGCTAGGGGTT